ACCCAGGGGAGGGGGGGTGGGGTGAGCCCGGACCCCGCCATTGCCAACCAGTCTGGGGAAAAAGAGCAAAAACACCATCCCAAAAAAAAAAAAAAAAAAATAATAATAATTATAATAATAATAATTTGCTGTCTTTACATTTGGCATCACTCAAGAAACCTATTCTTCCTGTAAAGATAGCAAATTATGACAGAAGACCAAATCATAACCTATGAGATTCCCATCACTGGTCCTTTGACTTTGACTTTGTCCTCTTAGATCTTGAAATCTCCTGGGTCATTTACTCTTTGTCAGGGTGGATGCTACAGGTATCCTGACTGACATTTCATTTTCATCATCTATTAGAAAAGAGTTGGATAGGTGAAGAACCTGATTCAAGAAGCTGGGTATAGAATTTGAGACTTGTTTCATCCTACACTGACCTGAACCTGATAACTATGGAATCCAGTCGTTGGGCTGAAATTGGCTGGAATGTCTCATATCCCTCACCTCTTAAAAACATACCTATATCCGCCGGGCGCGGTGGCTCAAGCCTGTAATCCCAGCACTTTGGGAGGCCGAGGCGGGTGGATCACGAGGTCAAGAGATCGAGACCATCCTGGTCAACATGGTGAAACCCCGTCTCTACTAAAAATACAAAAAATTAGCTGGGCATGGTGGCGCGTGCCTGTAGTCCCAGCTGCTCAGGAGGCTGAGGCAGGAGAATTGCCTGAACCCAGGAGGCGGAGGTTGCGGTGAGCCGAGATCGCGCCATTGCACTCCAGCCTGGGTAACAAGAGGGAAACTCCGTCTACAAAAAAAAAAAAAAAAAAAAAAAACATACCTATATCCACCAGGCCAGGCATGATGACTCATCCTTGTAATCCCAGAGCTTTGGGAGGCCAAGGCAGGAGGATTGCCTGAGTTCAGGACTTTGACAGCAGCCTGCAAAACAGCAAAATCCTGTCTCTATGAAAATTTAAAAATTAGCTGGGTACAATGGCATGCATTTGTAGTCCTAGCTACTCAGGAGGTTGAGGTGGGAGGATCACTTGAGCCTAGGATTTAGAGGCTGCGGTGAGCTATAATTACATGAGCATAGTATATAATATGCACTCCAGCCTCAGCAACAGAATAAGACCTTGTCTCCAAAACAAAACAAAACAATTATCCATATTTATACCTATATTCATTCTATTGTACTTCAAAATTTAAAACTAAATGGTGATCTAAGATCCTGATTAGAGATACTTTCTGTAGCTGAAATGATAGTTTCTGGCCAAAGCACTCTAAAGGCCAGCATGGGTATCAGCTAATGTTGCACCAGTCATGGGTAGGGGGTAGCTCAGCATCAGTTTCCCATTCAAGCCTATTGGTGATCACTAGTCATTTTCATATAGATGACATCTTGTTAGCAATGTTATTATTGGAAACACAAGCATTTCCTTGACTCTTGATTTAGGTAGAGGCGTGGTCTGATTTCAGTCCCTGAATCATGAACTTGGGCTTTTAAGTGATGTGGTCTGGAATTCCTCTTGGAAGAAACATTTATGTAAACAACTTTTACTTTGTGTATATGTGGTGGGGAGAGGTGAGTAGGAGGGTATATTCCCTTTGAAAAAGTTGATTTTAAGATAATATTAATTTTATTAGGTTGTTAGTCATTGTCCCTGGAGAAAATCAGCATAGCCAATTGTAGGTTTGAACAGAGTATAAAGGAATTATTTTAAATGGTATGGGGAGGGTTAAGGAAAGAACTAAGGGTGGTGAAGAAACCCAGGTCTAATGAAGGCAGAGCTATTACTAATCTTAAGCCTGAAAGGGGAGGGGATGGAAAGTGGGAACCAGGTAATGTAGCTACAGCTGAACAGAGGAAGCAGGGGCTTCTCCTGGAGCCTTTGGTAAAGAGATGCTCTTGTAAGGTGTCAGGGGGTTGGGGGTGTGATAAACATCCTGCCCTCCAATCTCCTGCTGCTTTGATTGGTTGATCCCAGTGGGGAGCCAGAGTGAAATGGGAGATCTCTGATGCAGTACATGCTGGTCAGCCTTCTGGGATGTGTAAGAGGGCTATAGAAGGTGGAATGTAGACCTGGAAGGGAAAACAAACATACTGGGCATGACTAGTGATCACAGGGATGGTATGGTAGGGTGAACAGTAGTACTAGATCTATGATTATGTAAGATGGTAACATTAGGTGAGAATGGCTGAAGAGTATATAAGAACTCTATATTATTTTTGCAAATCATCTGTAAATCTAAAATTATTTCAAAATAAGCTTGCACATCCTTGAGAGGGGATGCATTTATACATCATGAAATTAGATAGTCTTTTTTTTTTTTTTTTTTTTTTAAAGACAGGGTTTCACCATGTTGGTCAGGCTGGTCTTGAACTCCTGACCTCAGGTGATCCACCGGCCTTGGCCTCCAAAGTGCTTGGATTACAGGCATGA